ACAAACATAGTTACATCTCGCTGCATCAGCGTCCAACGAGAGAACAGCGGGTGGATATCAAATTCTTAGAGCACGCGTGTCGAGTTTCTTGAGAATAACTGTAACGTTATTATAGCTGCATTAGGAAGGAATGCAGTTAACGCAGCTTCGAAATTTGAAATGAACAGGACATACGCAACGGAAAAAGTTACCCAAGAAAAATAAGAATTAGAGAGATGCAGCTCGGTGTGTGCTGTACTCTTTAGACCCGAAACGAACGCACCGGCGTGTGTGCCTCGTGCTCGTAAAAAATGGCTCCCAGGAAGAAAAAATGTCTTTTTAATTAAACAATACGTAATGAGAGCACCTCGTGTTAACAGAAACCAATTTCTTTCACGAGACGTAATTAAAACTATACACAACAATTTTGAAACGAATGATCTCTATTTATTGCACTTTCGATCTTAATCAAAACAATGTTCCATAGAATGGCTTAAGTTGACTAACAAAAATATCGAGAAAAAAAAAGAAAAAAAAAACAGCGAAGTACCGAGGTTACACTATCTTTGTTTTTCAACTGAAAATTTCCGCTTATCCAAAACAGATAACACAAACCTCAGTTCGTAAAAAGATACACTTAGACACAATAAAATGACGTAAAATAATATCGTTTAAAAATATTATTGTCTTATCTTTTCTATTCCCAACTTGGGCTCGAATCGTAGTCGAACAACTGAATCTTCCAGTCATAATGTCAAGAGCAACGCAGCTCGTTGCCTCCAATTTATCCCTTTGCCCGGCATTTTTGGCGGGATAGTTAAAATGGATACAAATAAACTGGCATCGAGAATTTAACGTTGCTCGGCACTATATCTCGCTCTAATTTAAACCTATGTGCTTTCTTCAACTCCTATTGTTTACAATATTGTTTCAATTCGCTATATATTCAATTGGGTAACGTACTTCAACTAAACTTTTTTGCTACCTCTCTCACGCGCGTCTTTCCCCGTCTTCTCACTCGATTCTCACTTGTCGTCTATCCTTATGCGTTTCTTTATGTATTCTCTCGATTCAAATACGTCTCCTGACATATAACTCGCATAAAACACAAACAAATGTACAACCGAGTCGCCTGTGTTGGGATAATAAAAATCAGTAACATCTCTTTCCGATTACAACATCGTATCAAAAAACTTACACTTACTCAAAGAAAAAGCGACGGTTTTCGTGCCGAATACAGTATTTACTCCAATGATACAGGCCGGTCGGGCATTACGGGGGGATGTGTGTTCTTCATGTAAAGAATGTTTCGCCACGGAACGGATCAGTGTGGGGGGGGGGGGCACTGTGTAACTTATAGAAAGTGTTCTATGTAGATTGATGTGCCGCGAACCGGGCATTGTGAGAGTAAATACTGTAGCATGAAGTAAAGCGTGATAGCAATCGAATCGCGACAAGACAAAAACGAAACGGACGATCACAATGGCTCTTCTTCCGTACTCTTTGGTGTAACATACAAAATAATTGTACAAAATAAACGTAGCTGTTCGATCGAATAATAAATTCAACAATATCGTTACAGAAGGCACGCGAATCGAAAGATCTGAGACCGGTGGCTCGCAAATTTCGAATCAGAACGGTAGTATCGATTTATTACGAATAATAAAAGCAAAAGGTTCATCTATATCTAAAACTTAACAGCGAATCTTCTCGAAATAAGTGTATGCGCGCGCGTAGACATAACATCTCGTACAGATATGTACATACGGGGTCAGTGAACCGATCAACAAGACAATTTTACTCACAAAAATAAGCCCCAAGTGGGCGAAACAAACACCAATTGCGCGCGACAAACAAACAAAACATTAAGTTTGCATTCGCTCGGAGCTGGTTATAGATTAACGTATAGTTTACTGTCTCGGCTGGAACTGAGCAATGTATTGTTAATGAACCGAAATTATTTGGACCTGCAATTCGAAGAACAATCAACTATGAAAATGACTAGTTGCGTCGAACATTTAACAAAATTGATATCCGAGTTTCCAAACGCTTCCATAAAATACTTTGTATTTGTCTTATACACGACTCGATCGTAATGCCAATCTGTTTATCTCGATACATCGATTAGTAACCAATCCTCAGGTGTAACACGATTAAGACCCGCACTATTTTATAGCAACGAAATTTCAGCTGAGGAACTAATGCTTTTCCGAAGTGGAGTCGTCTTTTGCAGGTTCAAACTGGTACAGTTCCCGTGACAACATGGATGTCTTTCGTAGTAAGGATATTATCATACGCACGTAGATCCATCCATACATGTACGCGTCGTATACGCACGCACATACACGCATATTATATGCCTGCGCGCGCTCAGATTATTTTAAAGATATGTCTGATGAAAAAAAAAAGAACTTGCATGCGTATAATTCGAAATAATAAAACAATGCTTTGGCTAAATTGTCGCTTCGCTTAACAAAAGACAAAGGTTTCCAACGGAGTCGCTGGTACAATGAAATACAAT